CACCAGGACTGTGACAATCAGAGGCAAAGAAGTGGTGAAGCCTGTTTCAGTGTTGGACTACAATAAGTCAATGATAGGTGTTGATTTGAAGGACCAACTCCTCCACTCCTATTTGATTGAGAGGAAAAAAATGAACAAGTGGTATATGAAGCTATTTCGCAGGCTCCTGAACACCTCAGTTCTGAATGCGCTGATAATATATAAGAGTAACACAGGCAAAAATATAGATCAGTTGTCATTCAGAATTGAGTTGGTTGAGGGACTTTTCGTGAAGTACGCGAGTGCCGTTGAACACAAAATGCCGGGTCGACATGCGTCGGATAACAGTGTGCCCCGTTTGACAGAACGACACTTTATAAGTAGAATTCCACCGAGGTCAACGAAAGCAAGGCCACAGAGGCGGTGTGTTGTCTGCACGAAACATGGGAAGAAGAAGGAAACGGTGTACTGGTGTGAAGCATGTGACGTGGGACTCTGCATCGAGTGTTTTCGCGACTACCACACCAAGCTGAATTTCTAAGGTAATTCGATACTATTGTTCATAATTTTTATAAGCTTACCATGCCAAAAATAATACTAAAAACTGTAAATTACAATGTCGGATTCTATATTCTTTCTAGTTAAAAGCAACGATACTTTCGATTGTTTATCACAAAAATTGTATAAATTACAGCATTTTTACTAACACGATAACAGTGTTAATCCTCCTGGAGCGAAGGGCATTTAAATATCCTCCGTTACGGAAAAGCGATTACGATTTAAATACCCAGGAGTTGAAAGGTTAAAGAAAAAACAGCCCTCTGATTTGTAATGATGTCCAGCTGTCAGCCAAATCACAGGAACTGAAGATCGACTGGATTGGTGTATCTATAACACCCTTGACTTTTATTTAGGAGGGTTTTTTTTTTCTAATGGGGCTGGGACTAAGTCCCTTGTACTGCGGCCACTTCTGGCCTATTGTACCAGCCCCAGATCACAGGTGATACTCAGTTTGAACTTTAGCCAAGACACCGGCTATCTTAACTGAGATGTTTTATAGTTTCCTTAGCCCTTTCAGACATTAGCCAGAATAATACCCCTGTTAGGCCACAACCACTACTTCCAAATCCTTTCTAATTCATTATTCATGTCTCGGCTTACCTCTGAAAACTTTGTAGTCCAGTTACTGACAGTTTTATAAAATAACCCACAGAAGCACCTAGGAACTAGATTTCTCTTACCCTCAATTTCAGGAAATGTAATGATATCAGTGTATGACACATCATCTGATTCTTTACAAGCACTCTTGTCCTCACATCCCATGATTGACGAACATTTAAAAAGCCTTTTCAGCAATGCCACGTTTCCTTTGTGAGTTTACATGTTTCCTGGACAAAGAAGGTGAGATAATTTATATATTGTGACATGTCTGCTGAAAGCCAAGATAGCAGAACCAGAAGAGATGGCTGTTGCTAGGCAGTGACCTGTAAACATAATTCCACGGCAACCAGATGACGTGACCACTGAAACAGATACACGGACACAACAATAGAGGAACCGTTGGAAGCAATGTTTTTGGATGGGTCTGCCCTGAGGACGAGCTGAACACACCAAGAGAGAGTCCTCAAAGCGGACAAACCAGTCTTAGCCTGAGGTATTTGTTAGACGCTCATCCCCTGGCAGAGATGTGAGAAGTGGGGGAGTCCCCATTGCTGTAAGCTGTTGTGTGGGGCCGCGCCATAGCTCGAGCGGTTAGTCGCTGGCTTCCCACCACAGTGGCCTGGGTTTGATCCTGGGTCTGGTCAAGTGGGATTTGTGGTGGACAAAGTGGCACTGGGGCAGATTTTCTCCGTGTCCTTCGGTTTCCCTTACCAATCTTCAATCTTCATTCCACCAATTGCTCCACAATCACCCTCACCTAACATCTGGGGCTAGTACAATAGGCCATAAGTGGCCACAGTACAAGGGACTTAGTTCCACCCCACTAGCAATAAAAAAAAGGCTGTTTTGTATCAACGCCTAATAAAGGTGTAGAAGACGTAGCATGTGCTAATCAGACATTTATCTCTCTCTCTCTCTCACTCTCCCCCCATCTCACCTATAAATAACCCATGAGAAACCTGTTGGCAGCACAGGATATTTTATCCATGCTGTGAATGTTATCAGTTGAAGTAGGTACGTGATAAGGAAGACCTCTGTTCCAGCCATCCCTCATAATACGTCCGCATCTCGTGAACAAAACTGAGGATGAAATATCTGATGCCGTGTTCCTACATAAGTGTGTCCAGTCCTTTACTCTGCAAGTTGTTGTTTCTTTTCCTACAGCTTACCGCTATTCATCATCATGTTACTCACCATTATTTCACATAATATTGCATTTTAATTAATGTTTTATATGTATTAACCCATATTAACTTATGTATAAATAAAACTGAACAGAAAGAAAATTTGGTGGGTTGTTTTATGATGTCAGTATTTAGACTATGTAATGTCTAATAATAGAATGACTGATTAATAATGAATCAGAAAAGATATAGAAGGAAGTGTTCATGGCCTAATTGAAGTACTATGCCAGCACTTGCCTGGAGAGACAAGAAAAACATGAGAAACCTCAGTCAGAATAGTCAGTGTTCCCGCTGAGACTTAAACAAAGTGCCTCCTGAAGTCAAGTTAAGGTTACAACTAGACCAACCTGCTCAGTAATACATATAAAAATCACACTGTTGAAATATGTACATAGCAGCTATGTATCTTCATCAACAACAGTAACGAAGGCAAATGTCAATTGTCAGTGTTCTAGATAAAAATATATACTACTGGAAAGTTCCTGGACTGTTATTGTTATAAGTGCCTCAGTGAAAGAAGATGAGAGGGGTGACCAAGGTCACAATTCCACAAGCTTATTGCATCAGTCTGCCACATGATGCTATGCTGTGAACACGAGTGCTTTTTCGACTTTGCGTTTCACTTTATCTGTGATGAATGGCAAAATTGAGCAACATATCTGCATCAAGTTTTGCGTGAAACTAGGTAAATCTGCAACTGAAACCCTTGAAATGCTTTGTGAAGCTTTTAGAGAGCAATCTTTAAGCAGGACAGCTGTTTTTGAATGACATTCACGTTTCGAGGCCGGTTGAGTGTCAGTTGAAGATGAAGAAAGTTCATTGTGACCAAGCACCACCAAAATGACAGAAAATATTTAAAAAAAAGATGGAGAACTCATCCATGAAGACTGTCGCGGAACAATCCATGAGCTCGCGGACAGTGTTGGGATCAGTTATGGAGC